GTCCACGGCCCCCGACGGGGACCCCCCGGGCCCTGGCCGGTCGCCTCCCCACGCCCGGCCCACGCCCGGCCCCCCACGCCGCGTGACCTGGGGCCTCTCGCCGCCCCTCTCTGGGCTCTGGGGTCCCTGTCGGTGCCACGGATGCTTAAATAAAATGAATCGGTATTTCCGGAAGCCGCCTCCGCCAGCCCGGCCCGGCCCGGGCGCCGCTGGGGGCTGTGGGGGGACAGAGGCGGATCAGAGGGGGGCCTGGCCCACCCTGGCCAGCTTGGTTCTTTCAAGGGGAAACTGAGGCCAGAGGAGGCGGGGCCCAGCCCGAGGTCAGTACTGTTACACAGCCCTCACTTCGCACCTTTTCCCCACCCTTGGGTTCTCCAGTTGGTTCAGAACTGAATACTGGAGATCTACCTCAGGCCCCTTCCCAGCTAAGCCACTGAGGCACTGAGTGCGAGTGGGTGGAATTCCTGGACAAATTCTTGTCCTAACCTTTGCTTTCTCAAGATAAATATTTATCTGTCCTGGGCGGGGCAGAGGCTGAAGGGGAGGCGTCACTGCTGCAGGCGGGGGCCCTGACCGGTTCCCTGGGGCCTGAGTCCCCCAGGGCCTCAACACCACCCACACAAACATGAACCTCAAATCTGGCACCCCCTCCACAGCAAGGGAGTGGTGCATCTGACCCCCGTCCCCACTGGACCCACCCTCTGGGGCCTGGCCAGGGCCGTGCTCTCCCCCAGGGGCCGGGATGTTGGGGGGGTGGTTTCTGAGAAGTGACACAGGCCGGGATGACTCAGAACCACCTCCTCCCTGCTCTCTGCTGGCAGCGGCTGGCGTAACCTTCTCTGCTCGGGGGCCGTGGGGAGGAGGCAAGGAGGCGGGTAGTGTGCATCCCTGTCTGCCCGAGCCACCCCCCAGCCCCAGAAACACACTTTGCAGGAAGGGCCTGGGGTGGCTTCCCAAGAGCAGCTGGGGTGTCTCCCCCGCTCCACCCTGCAACTTCCTCCCCCGGGCAGGCGAATGGGCAGTGTGACTCGGGGCCAGGCGGGGAAGCAGTTCTGGGAGCCCAGTCACTCCGCCAGCGCCTCCCCATCACCCTCCTGACGCAGGCACCCTGGGGCGGATGTGAACCAAACACACCCCAGGGGCCCCCTGCCAACCACAGCCCCCCCCACAACAGGAGCCCAATTCACATCTGCCCTAGGAAATCACAGGCAGCCCCCACCGGCTCCTGGAACCCTGGCTCTTCCCCCTACCCTACAGCCCTTCCTGATGACAGACCACCCAGCTCCTGGCCCCTCCTCCTCCGCGGCTAGCCAGTTGGTGAGGGCAGGATGCTACAGGTCGGGGAGGGGGCGAGGGCCCCGGAGCAGGAGGAAGGGAAGCGGCTGAGCAGGTTCCTGCGGCTGGGGGCCAGCCCAGCCCAGCCCAGCTGAGGAGGCCAGGGACATGCCACCCCCACCCTGGCAGCAGGCGGATGGCTGAGGCCTGTGTCACCCTCCTGGGAGGAGGGCCCCGCTGCCAGAAAAATGAGGAAAGGAGAAGGAAAGGGGAAAAAAAAAGGCTGCAACAAAACCGGGAACCAAGTGTGGGCCAGCCCCAGCCTTCCTCATCTCCCTCCCGGACGCTTACTAAATATTTTCCTAACATCCTGTCTGAGCAGTGCTGGTTCCCCCCCACCCCGCCTCCCGCTGGGCGCCCCTGCCCCCTCCCCCTTTTGGGGCAGAGAACAAAGGCCAAGAGAAGGAGGGGGAGGGGTGACTCTCCACCCCTCACAACGGAGTCACGGAAGGAGTGTCACCCAGGCTGGTACCTCCTCCCCAGGTTAAAAAGGTTGCTCTGGGGAAACCACAGTGGCTGGGCGGGTGGGGGTACTTCTTGGCGGGGCTAGTGGGTCTGGGGACACAGGCCTGGGTGTGGGAATAGAGTGGGAGCGTGGGCCAAGGTCACCCTGCAGGCAGGCTTGTGAAAGCTCGGCCCCCTCCCCCATGGCAGCCGCCGTGGGAGAGAAGGCTCTCAAGGTCAGGTGGTGAGTGCTGGGGGGAGGAGGAAGAGGAAGCTGGGTGACCAGGCCAAGCTGGCATGAAGGCGGGGCGGCGAGTCCCCTCCCCTCCCCACAGGCCTCCTGGGAGCACAAACAAGCCCCAGGCTCTCCGAGGTGGCCGGCCACTGGGCCTGCTGCCCCCACAGGCTAGAAAGGGCTGGCGCGGATCTTACCTGTGTCTCTGTCAAGCTTTCCAAGGCCTGCATCACAGACTGTTCCGGCCTGGAGGCCTGGGACTACAAAGAGAGGGAAAGGAGACCCTGAGGGTGGGCCCAGCACCGAGGTTGGGAGGGCCAAGCTTGCTGGGTGGCGTGGGCTGCCCTGAGAAGGGGTCCAGGGTGTGATGGGGACTGTTCTCACAGGGGATGGGGGCTGACTGTCAGTATGGGACCTCAGGGCACGGAGCCCCAGCATTTACCATGAGGCCTGCCTCCACGGTGGGCACGAGTGTCAGCCTGCTGCCGTCCCCCACGCCAAACTCCTGCAGCTTCCCCGAACTGAGCCGGCTAAAGAGGGAGGAAGGAAGAGGGTGAGGCCACACTGAGACGAGGCAGGAACTCGGAAGCTGAAGCCGCTGGGAGGGTTGTGATTGTAGGGGACAAGGCAGGAGTCCCTTGCACCCCCACCCCTTCCTGGCCTCCAGATCCAGGGCCATGTCTGTGTGGTGGGGGGTTGAGGTGAGATCCCAGAAGCCCGATCCTGTTAGTTCAGACACCTTCTCCCAAGGAACCCCGACTCTGGACTGAGGCACTCCCTGTGCACCTCAGCCACTCTATCACCATCCAGGCCCAGAGCGCCCCTTGGCACCCTCCCCCTACCCAGGGACTGCCCCCCTGTAATTCAACCACCCGGGCCTGGGCTGTCCCTGTTGGCCAAGCTCTTAGCCTTCGGGGACTTTGCGGGGCGAGCTCCCCTCCTCCCTTCCTCCTTGGCGCAGGCCGCCGCCGCTGCCGCCGCTCAAACAAAGGAGACCCTCCCCCTCTCGCCCCTCCCCCACCGGGGCCCCTCCGCTGGGGATGGACACTGCGTGTCCCCGGAGGCCCGCGGAGGGAGGGCTCCCAGGCCTGAAGGCGATTTAAATGGCAGGGGGGAGGGGGGGAATGCGGGGAGCGGTCGGTGGAGAGAACAAAGCGGGACAGAGACGCAAGAGGGGGGGAGAGACAGCCAGACGCAGAGGGGGCCGCCGGACAGATGCGGAAGCCGGCGGGAACGCAGGCAGGAGGCGGTGGCCGCGTCCCCCACCCC